GGCGGTGTTTGCGGCATATTAAAAAAATCTCTCGATGATTGAATTACTTCTTAAATATTGATTAACGTTTTTATTTTCTAGAATAGTATTATGCTCACCTCAATGTCTTATTTCTCTACCCACCTTATATTTACACTCATCATAAAAAAAACAAAACACACATAAACTCTTTTCCCACCTACCATTATTCCCAAAATAACCCTATATATTGCTTCTTCCAATTTTCCTTGCTTTAAACAAATATACCCTATAACTCCAACTCCAAATATCCAGAAGGGTGGTTGAGAAGGTGCGAAAGGTGCAGTTGCACAGGACCCCCAAAATTTTTGTCACATAATATTTATATGTAATAATATTCTATACTTAAAATTGCTTTTTTTTTTTAATAAAATAATGTTCTATATTCAAAAATTGATTTTGTTAGCACTTAAAAATCTCATCTTACACTCCTTATAAGAGTAATTTTTTTTTCTTTCTAAATACAAAAATTTAGAGTGTCAATAATACACCATAAAAGACGATATTTTTTCAATATTATTATATAATAATGTTACATATTCAAGTGAAACTTTAAAGTTAGAGTTTTTTAAGTTCGTTTTCTTCTTTGGTTGTTTAAGATTGAACTGCTTTTGATTATTTAGTGAATGTTATGTTTGTAACTCCTTTTACTTATTATTAATGACATTTTAAAACTTTGCAATTAGTGAGTGATAAACTTTGTTTTGATTTAAGTGATTGTTTTCTAGCTTCCAGACATTGTCTTACATTTTTTAAGACTTATGTTAAGAAGGGGCACTTTTATAAATTTCGCACAGGGCCCCCAAAATCTCAGAGATAGCCCTGTGCGAAATTTTTTTTCTTACATTTCATTTTTTGTGGAGGATGAGGTTGGGGAGGGTGGTGGTTATGAGGTTCTATAAGTTTTTTTTTATTTTTATTTTTTTTAATGTTAAAATAAGCTTTAAGTCTAGCTGTATAATAATTGTGTATGTGTTAAATTTTGGGTGGAAGTTATGTATGTGGTAATACTGTATTACCACCTAGATCCTTTTTGTGACATCCCACATCGCCCAAAGGAGTGATCCTTATATGTATATTCTCATCTCTACCTAGCACAAGACATTTTGAGAGCTCACTGGTTTCGGGTTCCGTAGGAACTCTGAAGTTAAGCGAGTAATGCGGAATAGCATTCTCAGGATGGGTGACCCATCTCGAAGTTCTCGTGTGAATTCCCAAAAACAAAACTGTGAGAGCGTGATCGAGGCCCGAAGCAGACAATATCGTTCTATGGTGAAGTCGAGCCCGGGATGTGGGGGGGCCCGGACTGGGATGTGACAATTTGGTATCAAAGCCTAACCCTGGCCGTGGTGTGCCGACGAGGACGTCGGGCCCCTAAGGGGGGTGGATTGTGACATCCCACATCACCCAGATGAGTGATCCTTATATGTATATTCTCATCTCTACCTAGCACGAGGCTTTTTGAGAGCTTACTGGTTTCGGGTTCTGAAGGAACTCCAAAGTTAAGCGAGTAGCGCGCAAGAGTATTCCCAGGATGGGTGACCCATCGGGAAGTTCTCATGTGAGTTCCCAAAAACAAAACCGTGAGGGCGTGGTCAGAGCCCAAAGCGGACAATATCGTGTTACGGTGGAGTCGAGCCCGGGATATGACACTTTTCCTTGGGGATCCTAGGAATTCCGTGATCATAATCATTCATCGTACATCGTGCTGTTAGAAATTATTTTAAAATTTAAAATTTAAATGAAATATAAAATAGTACTTAACAAAAATTGACCACACGATGTATGATAAACGGTCATGATCATGGGATCCCCAAGAAAAGGATCCGACGAGGATCATTTTCCAATAATTTAGAGTAATGATAGGGAGACTAAATTTTGAAAACTAAATGACATGTAAGTTCATGATTGATTTATTACTTAAGCGTTGATAGACGTGCTCATTTCTATTGGTGACATATAATTTAGTTTGCTAATTTAATCTCCTTGCATTACTCAATAATTTATCCTAATTGTGGAGGGATGAGCACTCTGACGTGTTCTATGGAGACCCCTTGAATCCGCCATTGCTGCTGCTGGGAATATGTGGGACCGCAGCATTCATCAGCATGTGGATGCACAACGTGATAACTGCCGTGATGATGATGCCCGTAGCCACCGGCATTCTCTGGCGATTTCTGACGGGTCCCGACCAGTCCGTGGTTGTGAGCAACTTTTGCAAAGCGGTGATTCTGGGGGTGTTATACTCCATAACCATAGGAGGGATGAGCACTCTGATGGGGACCGATGTCAATCTCATATTGGTTGGAATGTGGAAGACCTATTTCCCACAAGCAGCTCCGATCACCTTCAGCACCTGGTTCTGTTTCGTCTTCCTTTCGGCATTGTTGATGTTCTTGGCTTTGTGGGGTTTGCTTTGCTGCTTGTATTGCTCAAGGAGTTCAGGCCAGGCTCTCTTTGTTTATTTAGACAAAGCCCATTTGAAGGAGGAGCTCGAATTGCTAGGTAGGATCTCTCAAACTTAGAGCAACTTACGTGCAATCAGCATCAAATTGTGGTGTATCCAAAATCAATCACGCATTGTCGTGTGTGAATTTTTTGATGATTAAAATTGCTTCTAAATAAATTAGGCAAAAAAAATTCAAATGTGTCTTTGAGGGAGTAGGACTTTTAATAAAAAAATCAACTTGTTTATAATGAAAGTACTGATATTAAAGCGTTGATGAGAAAAAATGTTTCTTACAAAAGCAATTTCGAAAAAAACCACTCTTTTTTTATAGCAATTGTTGTGGATACCCCAAATGCCATAATAAAATAGCTAACACATGGTATCACCGTATTGATCATGTTCTTGTTTGCTTTTGGTCCAATGTTCAGTATCCAATCTTAGGCACTAGAGAACACCTTCTGTGTAATTGTATTTCCAAATCAACTTACAATTGTTGATGCGGCAACCGGCAGGTCCAATGGCTTTTGCTAAGAAGATGGTACTGGCTTTGTTTTCGGTGCGTCCCCAAGTACTCAGTTTCGCATAGTTTTTGAGTATGGATGTGTCCTCCAGTTATTATGACTAGCATTTTCTGCAGATGCTGATTGTTTTGTGGATGACAAGAAGCATAACGGAGGATATTCCGGGCTGGGGAGTCCTCTTCAACGGGCATGCCGGAGATGGAACTGTCAGTGTGAGTATTGACATTTCTTCTTATGTGTTCTAACTTTAAGCACGAAATAGCCTTATAAACAGACCTTTCATTGGATCAAATTTTCAAGTGTGACTTGAAATGTTTGTAGGTTATGATTGCAACTTTTTTGTTCACAATTCCAAGCCAAAAACAAAAAGGTGAGAAGTTGATGGACTGGGAAAAATGCAAGGAGCTACCCTGGAATATCATATTGTTACTAGGTGCTGGTTTAGCCATAACTGACGGAGTTCGATCCAGTGGCCTTGCTAATATATTATCCGAAACCCTAGCTTTTTTGGAGGCAGTCCCATATGTTGCAATTGCACCTGCTGTGTGTCTCATAAGTTGTTCCATCACTGAGTTGATCATATCAAACAATGCAACAACCACGCTTATTATTCCTCTCCTAATTCAAATTGCCAAACGTATGCATGTGCATCCTCTCCTTCTGATGATTCCGGGTGGCATTGGGGCACAATTTGCTTTCTTGCTTCCTACGGCAACTCCTTCAAATACCGTAGGATTCGCCACTGGCCACATTGAGATCCAAGATATGATCAAGATTGGCTTGCCATTGAAGATTGTTGGGATTGCTGTGTTGTCCCTTTTGATGCCCACTCTTGGTATCATTCCTTTTCTCTTCATTATTTAGCTCACTTAAATTTTGATCAGTTTTCATCTTCACTAGTTCTACGTGATGTTGAAGTTCATAAGTAACTATTGAGTTTTGGCTATTGCAGGAGCTTATGTATTTAGGACAAGTGAACCAGTTCAGTGACTTGAAAGTTCAATACTGTTACAATGTCTCACAAAATCTCAGTGCATAACAAAAAGTAGAACATGTTTCGTTAGCGATAGTCTTATGATCCCATTCATTTGTGAGGCTATATGTGATTGTGAGATACCTATATGAATTCGAAACACGATTTTAAATTTACATTTCATATATGATGTCCATGATGATCAACCTTATAAATATGTGTGATTATGTACATCAAATCAAATTAACTTTAAACCAAACAAATAAATAAAGTACAACTAATGCATATATATTTTTGCTTATTATACAAGATCACACCATTACATCATCTCTAATAAACTAACATTACATCCCAAGAAAATTTAAGTTTTAACAGCACACCACAATATATATCGCACACAAAGTTTAAGGCTACAGTAACCAAGATAAATCAATGATCAGAGGCTTCCACGGAGATGGTGATTTTCTGGGCTGTTATTGATCACTATTCATGATCAATTTTGCTTTCTCCAAACTCCTTGCTCTTCAACCTCGCGGGGAAGATTTTTGAACTTTGAACAATGGCTAATCTCCATGTAGCAGAGTGCGGGCATAATTTTCCTCACAAATTCCACATAGCAAAAATTGCGTAATGCATGAAACGTGTGTGTGTGTGTGTATATATATCAGAAGGTAGATATAAATGTAGGAGGTTCATGCATCATGGGGAATGCTTTCATACTTCACGGTCATTTCAAATATTTTACTTTATTTTAAACGTATCTAATTGATAGAAAACAACAAAAGCCTTTGAATTTGTAAAAGATTCATCTCGGAAAACCGGAATTGCATCTCCAATGCGTTGTATCACGTTCAACACATAAAAATTAAATTGAATTAATAGCATGTAAATCAATTCAATAAATAATAAATTAATCATAAAAGAATAATTAAAATGTAATGCTCCCCTGATTAAAGATCAAACTCTCTTGTGCTGATAAGTGTTGTAGGCATAACTCTTGTGTTGATAACGTGTTGTGTTGTAGACATAATTTGCTGAACAATTATGGAGGCCAGAGAGAGAGGGGGTGCGGCATAGAGAGAGAAGAGATAAATGTGTAATTGTGAGGTGCGCGTTCTATTCTACTCCATTGTGTCTTTATTTATAGCAGTAGGGAAGGTTAATTTCTTATCACAATATGATTACAACTCTAATAGGATAATATACAGTCTAAAAGATATGGTAGAATCCCATAAGGATATCACAAATATGTTAAGATTTACACAATTACATTCCTAATCAAATAGGACTGCAACAAAAATCGAAATCTTTTCTCTTTTATCTTCTCATTTTAAACTTAAGAGTTCACAAGAGTTTATACTTTCTCTCACCAAAATTATCAAGTTTGAATCCTTTCTTTCAATAGCTTGTATTGAGAAAATAAAAAATTCATTTGTTTAGGTCCATAATCACATGTTTTACAATAAAAATGAAAAATTACCATTTAGACATATAGAACTAATTGAAGAAAAAAACTATTTAACGCATCTTAGTTTTAGTTTTGTGTGATCACATAGTTTATCTTGTCACGATAAAGTAAATATATTATGTCATCATTAAACAAATATAACTGGCTTTATTACAAGTATAGTTTGCTATACTTTAGCTTTAGTTTCTTCAATTAGATGTAATATCATCCATATGAGTCAAAATTTTCTCTCATGTAGCGGGTTTCATTGTAGAAACTGATTCCACAATGTTTGAATATGAGCTAAAGGTTGTTGGTTGGGATGTTAATAAGCTTTTCTAACATCAGGTTTTAGATTTTTGAATTCTGCTCGAACAAAACTAAAGTCTATTCATTTGCTTGATTCAATATAGTTTTTGTGGAAAGAAATTGAATTCTATGGCTGCTTTTTTGCATTTAAAATTACTGTCATTTTGCAATAAAGTATTTATTTGGTATGAATTGCCTGTGATGGTGGATAAATCTTCATGCCGGTCTATCTGGGGGAGCAGTATGTAGACAATCCTATGTTGTACGATGTCATTTTCTTAGTCGAAGGTTTAAATCATTTATCTTTATTTAAGCTCTTCCTACGTATGCTGTGTTAGCTGACATTACAGAATATTCAATTAGCATGGGTGATTGTATTGTTAACATAAAGGACCTCTTTAAATTTTTGATTGTGTACTGACTAATTGCAGATAGACGGTTCTATGCTCACATAATTTTCTGCTTGGTTCTTCAGATACCTTCCGTGCAACATTTGATGTGGTATGGTTTTCCAATTTCCCCTTTGCAACAATTTCTTTTTGGTTTTTGGAGTATGTATGATTTATTTTTAATTAGAGAAGAAAAATTAATAAAACACAAGAAGCAATTGGAAACATGGCTGCAAGTGATAAGCCAGAGTCTTTTTTTTCAATTAACTATATTACTTTTGTAGTATATGCATGCGCAGGAAAAATCCAAATCGTACTACAAGATCTTAGGGCTCTGTATTTTGTGTCAAACCAATGCATTGAGAGAATATGAACTATTGCGTCTGGTTTGGATATGTGTCTATGGTGGTACCCCTATTTCAAGGCAACTGAGAGCGCTTGACTATGGTAACCCAATGGCTTTCTTTGTTGTTTTTCCTTAAGAGGTTATCGATTCCTTACTTTTTTAACTGAGTTTTTGACTATCAATATTTTGCATTTCTGAGCTTAAAGGCACAAAATGATTATTTGTTATTGGGTAGATGGGTTGCTAAAGGCAAGCAAGACACATAAAAATGACCATTGGGAACGAAAAGTCGCTTCTTCGGTGTATTTATACTTTTTTTAGTTGTATCATGCGAAATTAAGTATCGATTTGCTATGTGTATTTTGTTGAAGTTATGTTTTGATGAGCTTGGATTCCTGAAACGTTTGATACTAAAATGACATGAATAAGCATAATGAATGGTTTGAAAGATGCTATTAATGGTTTTGCGAGTATATCGTTAGTCGTTTGGTTGTATGATTTGTTTTTGTTTTTTCTTTCAAAGCACTTTGCTCTTAATTTTTTGGGGCTGCAGCTTTCGAAGCCCTTTATGCTCAAGGTAAACAATTTTGGATTTCAGCCTTCCAACAATTTTTTTATTTATTTGAATATTGTGAAAGTTGTGTTTTATATGCTATGAAAGTTGAATCTGTGAATTTTTTTTTTTTTAATTCATGGTATATATTCTATTTCATAGTTTTGGATGATGTTGGATTGAAAAGCTTTTCTATAGAACTTATAGTTATTTAAAGTGTTTTATCCATTCTTACATTTACTCTCATAAATTATAGCTGATTTGTTAATCTCTTACCAAAATACGCAAATTATTTTGTAAATTTGTTCTTATTCTAGCAGGAACAACAAATGCAGAAGGGGAACACATATATAATCAGTGTTATTCTAGCCAAAACCTTTATTCTCACAACATTGGGTACGATTGTTATAAGTTTCAATTCATTGTACCTAAATTGAAACAATTTACTATTAGCACAAACTTTTTTATATTTTAAACATGATATTTCATGCATTTTCTAATCCTGCAGCAACGTGCGGGTAGTACTTTCTAATATCTTCTATACATCAAATACATTTCCTTGGCTCCATTTTATGACGTCCATTTCTTCATTTCTTTGACTCCAAGATATCCATCATCAGCTACTCCCTCGTTTCCTCATAGGTACCAATGTACTCGCCGGCAATTGTCCTCAAAATACCTATGCATTCCTTTACTTGCATCATGGCGGGACCAGCAAGAGACCCTAGCATGTGCCGATCGACCTAACATTCTCTAACGATGTCAACTAATCGATGGTTGGTCTGATGGTATCACAAGAGGATGTCAGGAAGGGACATGCTAGGTTCTCTTGTTCCCCTTCGCACGGTGCAAGTAAGTTCAAGGAATGCAAAGGTTCGGTGGCGACTACTTTGGTACCTATGAGAAAACGAGGGAGGAGTTGATGATGATAACTTTCAGATTGACGAAAAATTCACAAATTCAGCGCAACGGGTCAAACTTTGTAAAGTTTTAGCTATGAACCGAATAATGGGCCTCCAAATTTGTAGTGAAACGGGCCTGATTAAATTCGTGTGTTGGGCGTACAAAAGTAAAGCCCCATCTTTTTTAACCTAAATAAATTTTTTTTACACAAATATCATCTGAACTATTCCGGGGGTGTGCATTTACTATCAAACAAAATTTTTTCTGAGAAGCTGCAACCAATACTTCCTTTTGAGTGCTATTTTACTTTCTTATTTGCTAGCACATTATCTCTGGCAATCCAAAACCCATAAAACCACTTTCACATGATCATAAATATATGCAGTTGACTTACCACCAAAAACTAAAGACGAATAATTGATCAGCATATAAATGTTTCTCAAATACTGTCTCTCTCAAAGTGCGAAAGAACAGACAACAATAGTCTTCGTCCGACTGATGAGAATATGAACATCTGAACCTACTAGGGACTGCATACTAGAAAACAGAGAAGGAAGCTTCCCTAGTCACTCTCATTTTCAAGCTTTTTGTGTTACTCGACCTTTCCCTCGCGGTGAATGAACAGATGAATCGAAAGATATACTCACGCGTGGAGATCATGGCTAGAGGAAATGAAAGTGAGGCTGAAACTTGAAAGAAGAGAAATGAAAGAATTAAGTAGTTATTGTTGAAAATAAATTTCACATTGATGGGAGGAGGGACTTTGCATAGACTTTTATGGTAGAATCTTAACTTTTCATGATATTAGAGAAGGTTGTCCCACGTGTGAAGCCCAACGGCCACACGCGTTTCATGTCATCCTGTTTGTGTTTGTTCATGTGTTAGGTTTGAAATTTACCACGCATGAGGGGGGGCGTGTTGAGAATGAATCCCATATTGAAGGGATGAGGGACCTTGCATATGAGCTTATAAGTAAGTTGGTCTATTCATCATATTGCCAATTAATTTTATGATGTAACTCCAACTTTCTTCAGTTATTCCAAAATAAAATCAAATGTACATGGCCTCACATGAAGGATTGATGCCCTACTTATACACATGTTGACATTATTTCCTGATCTCGTGTGAGATACTTGGAGAAGAATCATCAATGCCTTGCCCAATACGTGTTTTATGTCATTTTCACCAACAAATTACGTATTACTAAGTGATATGAGTTTTGATGGTCTTATTTTCAATCCCACACGTTATCTTTCGAAATTGATTGCAGCTAGAATAATTGATCATGTGACTTTGAACATGTAACAAGATTTGGCAAAACCAAACTTGGGGCCATGACAATACTAGCCACCAACCATTTTTAAGAAAACTAAAGGAAAAGAAGGAAAAAGGCCAAAAGAAGAGGAGGACCACACATATAATTATACCCCTACCTTAGTGATTGTGTTTGATTGGGCATTATTGCTCTTATAATGGCAATTTTGTCCTCTCGATCGATAGAAACCACAAAGTTGGATAGCTATAATGTGTGTTCCACAAGGCAGTTATGGGTTTTTATTTCTATTTTTTGTGATTGTCTCGACGTAGAGATTTTAAAACCAAAAAATATTAAACTTACTGCAAATTATAATATCATTTAAATTACTAAATTTAGGATTGCTCCAGCTAAATCGACCTCTAAGTTGTGATTATTATTTGAGCAGTAGATTACACTGAAGTTTAGAGTCCAACTTCTATTGGTTGATATGTATTATTTTTACATGATCGGATTATACATATAGAAAAATAAGTACGTTAATTAGTAATAATTCAATATTTAAAATTGATAGTCATATTAACATTATCCTAAAAAAATGCTCCAAAACTACCTGTAAGCTGAATCATCAGTGAAAAAATGAATTTGGGTCTGCCATGTATACTGACAAATCATTTCAAGGCCAAGAAAATGAGAGATTTTTTTAGTGTGACCGTCACAAAGGATGATACACCACGTGTCATTATATAAATAATAAAATATGTGTGTCAAAATGTTAATAATTTAAAAAATATAATTTTCTACAACTTACATAAAAACACGTAATGTACCACATTTGTTCCCGTCACAATTAAAAATTTTTTCAAGAAAACAATATAGCACAATCATTCAGATGATAGCCGGACTGGACCTTGCATTATTATCAAGTTCAATGGTTGTGGCAATTTGTAGTCCTTTTCTGCACACGTGGCTCTGTTTCGTGGCCTCTTTGCCCGCACTAAATTTGAATGAGAGGTAATCTATTAGAAAATGTCACACTTTGCCATGTTCTTGGATATAAATTTTGCGAACTCTTAGCGAATAAATGACAATAAGTAGCAAAGTCCAATTTAATTAGCAATACCAAAATGAAAGCCAAACTTGTTTACTACTACTTTAGTGATGAATGAGTCAAAAACTTCTTACACATAAGTTATATTATTCAAAACTCGCATGAATATGATCTACAATACCTACGTGTGACATTATATGTATAAAAAGAAAGACAAATTTGTCTACTATTGTATATGTTTTGATAAGCGATATTTTAAAACACTTTAATTTATAGAATTTATTTGTATTAGAGTGTGTATCAGTAACATGAACAATTTGTCAGCCTAAATGGCATTAATCTATAAATAAATAAAAAAGCCTCAAACTCAAAGACAAAAAGACGGACACACTACACCGGCCAACCAATTAACCTTACTTCCTTGTATGCATAACTAGATAGAAAAGCCTTACTTCTTTGTATACAAAACCGAATATAAAAGCACCATTTCCTCGCATTATATAACCAAGTGGTTTCCGTAATCCAATCCAACATCAATAACATGGATCATCATCCAATATCCGAAGACCCCAAAACCCCGCTTCTCCCTCTCCACGATCAAATCCAACGGTCGCAGAGCTTCCATTCATCCTTGAAATCCATTATAACACTCAAGAACTTCTTCATCCTCCTCGGACCTCTTCTTTGCACCATCATATGCCTCTGTGTGAAGCTAGATGGCCCGGTGGCCAGCCGGAACATGTTGGCAGTGCTAGTGTGGGTGTTTGCTTGGTGGATCACGGAGGCCGTGCCCATGCCAATTACCTCTATGTCCCCACTCTTTCTCTTCCCTTTCTTTGGAATATCCTCTGCTGATGATGTTGCTCAATCTTACATGGACGATGTTATTGCCCTTCTTCTTGGAAGCTTTATATTGGCTCTTGCTGTTGAGCATTATAACATCCACAGAAGATTGGCCTTGAATGTGAGTTTCTCTGGCTACCATGCTTCTCTGCTAAGATGGATCATCTTAATGGTTATTTATGCTGTGATTATTATGCTTAATGGTTATTTTAGTACAAGCGTACAGATACATGAGAAAAACAAAGGAAGGGACCAAATGGCAAACATTTTACTTCTCTATTCGTTCACAATTTCCCTCGGTTATTTTTGCATTTCTTGTTTGGTAGAAAGCTATTGCAGCCATATTATATTACATACGATAATTTTAAATTTGGTTTGCCCGGAAATTCATTGGATTAGATTTGAGAAATCTGTCATTTACTAGTTAGTTCACTGACTAATCCCATTGATATATAATAGGGAACTTTAATGAAAAGCTTCCGGTACTGTTCATTTTAACGAAAAATCATATTTTTATATTAAGAAGTCAATCATGTATCATTCACTTTATCCTTTATTTTATCCTTATCGTTAAAACTCAAAGTTTTCGAATCATTTTTATTAGTTTTTCTATATCCTATCGAAATTTTAAATATTGAAAAAATATATTTAGCTATTTTTTCTTCCTAAATTAATGCACTTTTGTCCAAGAATACGGAAATGCAAGAGAGGAGCGTCAATAACGCTTTACTAATCCATGGTAAATGTTACGTTAGAAAGGAAACGTGAATTTGAATTCTCATACATTTCATTCCAAAATCAACAAGAATCAAATGGATAGTCCTCCCTCCAATGACCCCAAAATCCCACTTCTCCCACTTGATGATCCAAATCCAAACCATAACTCACAAATCCGCTACCCTTCTTCACTGGAATCCATTCTACCATCCAAGAACTTGTCCATCCTCCTGGGGCCTCTTTTGAGCACCGTTATTTGCCTCTGTGTCAACTTAGATGGCGCCATCGCTAGCCGGAATATGTTGGCCGTGCTTGCCTGGGTGTTTGCTTGGTGGCTCACGGAGGCCGTGCCGATGCCAGTTACCTCAATGTCCCCTCTCTTCCTCTTCCCGCTCTTCGGAATTGCCTCTGCAGATGATGTTGCCCACTCTTACACGAACGATGTTATTGCCCTCGTTCTTGGAAGCTTTATTTTGGCTCTCGCCGTTGAGCATTATAACATACACAAAAGATTGGCCTTGAATGTGAGTCCTCTTTTCATTGTTGTTTTCTCGTATTAACCCATTCATGTGATACATCGCTCACATAATATTATTGGCATCAATAAAGCAAACATAAATACATTGTTTAAAGAAAACATAAATATATTTTCGACAACATTAATATGTGTCACAACTTGAGAATTGAGTGCCTTAGTGTCTGAACCCTACTAGGGTGACAACCACATTGTGCTCGAACCCTGTCGTATACTATCCGCTTAGGGTTTTCAAAATAATTTCTTTTTTGGATTCAAGCGATACTAGTGAAGGAGAAACAAACTTTGGACTTCATGTACAAGAATAATTTATGGTAATGCTAAAGAGACCATCTATTTAAACTAAATTTTGGAAACTATATGATGTGGTTGTTGATGATTGAGAAAAAAAATTTAATGTGCCGAAAATACGACTCGGTACAGCAAGTGTCATAATAAAATTGGTTGGATTTTCTTTTTTCAGTTTCCAACAAAATATATTATTACCCTTGATCAGTCGGGCAGTATTTACGGCACATTGAAAAATTTCTTGATGTTTGAATTATTATTTAAATATTGATTAACGTATTTATTTTTACATTTACAAATTGGACAAGTTGATTTACCTAGTATTCCAGAACACAGATAACCCTGGTGTTCTGCGGAGATCCCTTGAATCCGCCATTGCTGCTGCTGGGAATATGTGGGACCGCAGCATTCATCAGCATGTGGATGCACAACGTGGCAACTGCGGTGATGATGATGCCCGTAGCCACCGGCATTCTCCGGCGGTTTCCGACGGGTCCCGACCAGTCCGTGGTTGTGAGCAACTTTTGCAAAGCCGTGATTCTGGGGGTGTTGTACTCCATAACCATAGGAGGGATGAGCACTCTGACGGGGACAGGTGTCAATCTCATATTGGTTGGAATGTGGAAGAGCTATTTCCCACAAGCAGCTCCAATCACCTTCAGCACCTGGTTCTGTTTCGCCTTCCCTTCGGCATTGTTGATGTTCTTGGCTTTGTGGGGTTTGCTTTGCTCCTTGTATTGCCCAAGGGGTTCAGGCCAGGCTCTCTCTGTTTATTTAGACAAAGCCCATTTGAAGAAGGAACTCGAATTGCTAGGTAGGAGCCCTCAAACTTAGAGCAACTTACATGCAATCAACATCAAATTGTGGTGTATCTTAAGTCAATCATGCATTGTTGTCTGTGAATTTTTTGACAACAAAAACTGCTTCTAACTAAATTAGGCAAAAAACATTTAAATGTGTTTTTGAGGGAGTAGGACTTTTAATAAAAAATCAACGTGTTTCTAATGAAAGTACTGATATTAAAGCGTTGATGAGAAAAAATGTTTCTTACAAATGCAATTTCGAAAAAACCACTCTTTTTTACGGCAATTGTTGTGAATACCCCAAATGCCATAATAAAATAGGTAACACATGGTATCACCGTATTGGTCATGTTCTTTTTGGTTTTTTTTTATTTTTAGAAACTGTTCTTTTTGGCTTTTGGCCCAGTGTTCGGTATCCAATCTTAGGCACTAGAGAACACCTTCTGTGTAATTATATTTCCAAATCAACTTACAAGTGTTGATGCGGCAACCGGCAGGTCCAATGGCTTTTGCTGAGAAGTTGGTACTGGCTTTGTTTTCGGTGCGTCCCCAAGTACTCAGTTTCGCATAGTTTTTTAGTATGGATGTGTCCTTCAGTTATTATGACTAGCATTTTCTGCAGATGCTGATTGTTTTGTGGATGACAAGAAGCATAACGGAGGATATTCCGGGCTGGGGAGTCCTCTTCAACGGACGTGCCGGAGATGGAACTGTCAGTGTGAGTATTGACATTTCTTCTTAGGTGTTCTAACTTTAAACACGAAATAGCCATATACACAGACCTTTCGTTGGATCAAATTTTCAAGTGTGACTTGAAATGTTTGTAGGTTATGATTGCAATTTTTTTGTTCATAATTCCAAGCAAAAAACAAAAAGGTGAGAAGTTGATGGACTGGGAAAAATGCAAGAAGCTACCCTGGAATATCATATTGTTACTAGGTGCTGGTTTAGCCATAGCTGACGGAGTTCGATCCAGTGGCCTTGCTAATTTATTATCTGAAACCCTAGATTTTTTGGAGGCAGTCCCATATGTTGCCATTGCTCCTGCTGTGTGTCTCATAAGTAGTTCCATCACTGAGTTGATCACATCAAACAATGCGACAGCCACGCTTATTATTCCTCTCCTAATTCAAATTGCCAAAAGTATGCATGTCCATCCTCTCCTTCTGATGATTCCGGGTGGCATTGGGACACAATTTGCTTTCTTGCTTCCTACGGCAACTCCTTCAAATACCGTAGGATTCGCCACTGGCCACATTGAGATCCAAGATATGATCAAGATTGGCTTGCCATTGAAGATTGTTGGGATTGCTGTGTTGTCCCTTTTGATGCCCACTCTTGGTAACATTCCTTTTCTCTTCATTATTTAGCTCACTTAAATTTTGATCAATTTTCATCTTCATTAGTTCTACTTGATGTTGTAGTTCATAAGTAACTATTGAGTTTTGGCTATTGCAGGAGTTTATGTATTTAGGACAAGTGAACCAGTTCAATGACTTGAAAGTTCAATAATGTTATGATGTCTCACAAAATCTCAAGGCATAACAAAAAGCAGAACATGTTTTGTTAGCGATAGTCCTATGATTCCATTCATCTGTGAGTCTATTTGTGATTCTGAGATACTTATATGAATTCAAAGCATGATTTTAAATTTACATTTCATATATGATGTCCATGATGATCAACCTTATAAACATGTGTGATTATGTACTTCAAATCAAATTAACTTTAAACCAAACAAATAAATAAAGTACAACTAATGCATATATATTTTTGCTTATTATACAAGATCACACCATTACATCATCTCTAATAAACTAACATTACATCCCAAGCAAATTTAAGTTTTAACAGCACACCACAACATATATCGCACACAAAGTTTAAGGCTAGAGTAACCAAGATAAATCAATGATCGGAGGCTTCCATGGAGATGGTGATTTTCTGGGCTGTTATTGATCACTATACACTGATCAATTTTGCTTTCTCCAAACTCCTTGCTCTTTAACCTCGCGGGGAAGATTTTTGAACCTTGAACAATGGCTAATCTCCATGTAGCGGAGTGCAGGCATAATTTTCATCAAGTTCTCCCCATCTTCCTCATAGTTCAGCAACTTCAAACACAAACCCTCAACATGTTTCCAAGTGGACTGATCACTGGTCAGTTTCTTAATGTCACAATTCTCAACACAGAGATACTGCAATTCAGAAAGCACATTCGGATGAAACCAGTTGGGCATTGTGTTGGAATGATAATTCCTTACATACAGCTCCCTGAGATTTGGAGGCATCTTAAGCCCGTCTAACTTTACCAAAGTTTCCCGTTCTTTACATTCTTCAGCATCAATGGTAAGGACTTTGAGATTGCTGAGACTTGATAGGATGCCCATTTCATCTTGGGAGATTTCAGTGTCAGCACTTAGGACAATTCGAAGAACTCTTAGCTTCTTTAGTTTGCTGAGCTCACGAAGGGCGCAACGTTGTGTTTTGGCCGGATTCACCACCTTGAACCCGGTGAGTTCTTGTAGAAGACAGAGGCTCCCCAAACCCTTGGGTAGGCAATCAAGGGGACAATCTCCAACGTCCAAGACAATGAGCCTCTTCAAACATTTGATGGACGGGTGTATTTTGACTAATTTTTTGCATCCGTTCAACACCAAAAGCTGGAGGTTAAGCAGTTTCTGAATCGAAGATGGGACTTCCCGTATCTGAGTTCCACTCAAGTTTAGACATGCTAAGCGTTTTAGAGAACTGATATAGTTGAAGAGATCCTCAGCACACAACACTGTTAAATAAAACATGTGAGATGGAATATTTTGTTTTGTTTCGTTTTTTGTTTTTGTTTGTGGAAAATGATTTCTACATGTCTCTTCTTCTTATACACACTCATGTTTATTTTATTCCTTTGATTTATTATATCCAAAGGTCATAAATAAAGTAGGTGTGCATAAAGGAAGAAAAGAGGAGCGTGATAATCATTTTTTTTAATGCACAAACATTACATATACAAGCGCATGCACTCAATAGATCGAAATTAGAAAGCATGATGAAGAATTTAAAGTACGTTCTACCTGGAGATGTGGTACTGCTATCTTTGACAACTTTAGAGTAAGACAGGTCCAACACCCTGAGGGACTCCAGTAACCCAAGATTCTTGCCAAAGTTATTAGGTGGGCTTGACATGAGAAAAAAAGTCCTCAACTTTGGATTAACTTCTAATTCCTTCTGGTCATCATCCATATCTTCGCTGATACCGAACCATCGTGGCTTTTGCTCATTTTGCTCATGTTTCTGCATTAGCTTTCCTTGCTCATTGAAGATGCAAAATGCCTCCTCTCCCGCAATCTTGATAATTAGCTCCCGCACCATATCGTGTATCTTGCACTTATAAACTTTCCCATCATACCATCGCCGATCCACTACTTCCAGCAGGCATCTGTTCACTAGTTCTGCGAGATATTCATATCCCAATTCTATAGCTGTTTTTGAATCCTTTTGCTGGACGAGGCCCTCCCCAACCCACCAGTGAATCAACTGTTCGGCATCTATCTCGAAGTCTTCGGGATAAATGGAGACGCACAATAGGCATTGCTTGAGACTGGTATGTGGAAGTTCATCATAACTTAACTGCAGAGAGTTGATGACATCTACATTTTCTCCTTCGGTTGTGAGTGCATGGAATTTTTTCGAAATGTCTGTCCATTTTAAAAGAGAATCAACCTTCGCAGCTAATAAGCTTCCTAAAGTCTTTATTGCCAGAGGAAGGCCACCACATTTCTTCAGGATACGCAGTGAAACATCTTTATAATCATCACCAGGGCATTCTCCATTGCTTTTTCGAAATGCATATTCACTGAATAAATCCCAGCCGTCTTCGTCCTTCAGACGTTTATGGTAATGAATTTGTGTGTTTCTAAGAACCATTGTTTGCGCAACGTCTTCTATCCTGGTTGTAATAATGATGCAGCTGGATTTACCAACTGATGTTGGCAGCTTGGAGCACAGGTCTTTCAACCAATCTGACTTGTTTCTGTAAGGCCACACATCATCCAGGACAATGAGATAGGATTTACCGTTAAGGACATTGATGAGTCTGCGCAAAATTTCATCACTCTCCGAGGAAGACGTTTCTTCATTAACTTTGTTGAGTAACTTCTTCAGGATCCACTGCTCGCAGAAATTTCCTGAAACACATACCCACATTGTCTTTTCAAAGTGATCCAAGATTTGAGAATCGTTAAAGAGTTGTTGAGCAAGGGTGGTTTTGCCCAAGCCCCCCATCCCCACAATGCCAATGTAGTTCATTGCTGGTTCCTTCTCGTCGTCGTAAAGTATCCACCCTTTCAACTTTTCTATGTCCCCATCCAATCCATATGTCTTATGTGGGTTTAGTGAACCAACAAATCGCCTGCTGCTGCTGATGTGTTCGCTCAAACTACTATCGGCAGTAGCTGATGCACTCAAATACTTGACCAACTCATCGTGCACGTCCTTCATATCAGAATTAATCTTCGTCAACCTCCTGCCCATCTCATGCGGGAAAACCGGATCCAGAGGCAACAAGCATGAGAAGAACCTCTTTTTCTTCTTTTCTTCCTCCCTAATGAGGCAATCCGTCAATGCGTTGTCGGCTTCATAAATCACTTCCCTTAGCTCACTCAAATTTTTCTTGATCATTTCCTGATCAGACGACAGTTTCAGTTTCTTATCTGCGTCGACAACTAAGCATCTCATTTTTCCGAGCCATTTCTTCATCTTCTCAAGCTCACTTTTGAAATTAAAACAGAACTGAGCTTCGTGCGCTGCAGCACTGACTACTTGTGTTGTTACGGCCTGAACCAGAGCTTCAACTAGCATCGTCATCGATCTGTTACAGTTTTACACATTTCGCTCTTAGTTATATTATAGTTATGATACTATTATTTAAGACAATTAAAAATAGATAAAATCCATATTAGAACATTTTAGCATAGAATAAGTTGAAAAATAGCAAGTGGAATTGCCATGGTGGTTAGAGTCTCTCTTTTACACAATGCATCTCGGATTCAAACTATTATTTTCTCCTTAATGTAAATCAGTGTAGAGCATTGCTTATAATAAAAAAAATAAATAAATAAGATGACAAATTCTTCCCTCTCCTTAATAATAGTAATTAAAAAAAAAATGTTATGCCCAATCGTGAAAGAAATTATAGAGTGAGTGAGAGGGAATGGCAGAGAGTGAGATGGGATCAAAGGTTTGTGATATGTGTTTTCTCTCTTTGTCTTGACCCCCAACTAGTTTCGCCAATCACACCTAATATAGGATATGGATTTGCTCATCACCCTCAACTAGGTCCTGAGCGTTGCCCCAGTTCCTTAGAGTGCAACACGAGATTAATCATGGTTAACTAGCGTAAATTTTATATACATAAAAAATAGCTTAATAATAAAATTACATTCCTTTGTTTCCACTTATGTCTTGCTTCAAGCAAGTAGATTATTGTTTCATGATTGGAATGATCTGTAAGAGCAAGTCAGAGAGCCATAGGACCCTCTTTAGCAAGGTACCATGTTTGTAATGCTTCATGCACATGTCTTTGAATAAAGATTAGAGTGATGGCTCATTCAGCTTCTTCCTCGCTATTGTTGGCTTCGCTAGTTTTCTAACTTCTTAATAGTTAAGTGGAGCTTCTCATTTTATATCCCGTTGAGTTTAGTTTTGCCATTGTTGACTCGACGTATGCATGCTGGGCTAAGGTGGAAAAAATATAGCCCGACAAAAACTTGGAAAACGGGTTGGGCTTCTGGCCCAATAAGGAACCCAAGTTTGAAACGAATTTGGGCAGCGATGCCCAAAGCCGAGACTTCACTGGAGAGCAGAGCTCAAATATGGCTATTGGCTAGTTTGCTCTAGCATTTTATTTGGATGAATAAATTTAATATTACTAAAGGATTTTAAAATAATGAAATTTTATTTTTTTATGTTTTTGAGTTTTCTTATTTACTTAACCTAAAACAACAAAAAAATTTGAAATATGGAATTTATTATTTTTAAACTATTACTCATAGAAATCTAAAATTAACACATATTTACTTGGAGTTTAAACTTAAGAATTACAAATTTTGTTTATATCTAGACATTATAAATTTATATATATATGAATCCAAGCGAGAGAATCCATGCATGTTAATTTATAAATTCTGATTTCTATAAAAACTTGAAGTTTATTTCTCTATCTAAACATATTGTAAGGGTATGTTTACAAAACCGTAGTGAAATACGAAGAAACGGAATTGCACTTTTTTTCGAAGCATTCAAGCGATTATCAATATTTCCATAGAGAGGGTATTTGTATTCTGGGATAAGCCTCCGCCAGAAGAAATCCAACTTTTCTACACACCACTCCTGTTCCTTCTACCTTTCAGCCGAGTCTACCGACTCCCTTGAACGTTCACCAGCTCAATCTCGTCAATCGGCGATGATGGGCCTCAAGCTGCACGGGTTCAGGATGATTTTTTCAGGATGGGTTTCGAAGCTGCAGTTGGTGAAGAATAGGTTGTCGTTGGCGAAGATCGGATTTGGAACTCGCTTGGTGCACATTTGGCATTGAATACACACTCCGGATCTACTGCTATGGTGGCTGTGGGATATATTACGGTGGCTATGTTGTTGGAGAGAGA